CAGTAAAGATGTCAACCATCTGCTAACATCTGCCTATCCACCTATCTTCTCCTGGTTATAAATGTTGAATACGGGCTGAAATGTTAGGATCTAAGAGAAATTAGGCCTTATTGAAGGACTGCAGATGCAGCGAAGCTACACTAAATCCAGATCCATGCAATTTGTGACGCTACATTGGCTCTAAAAGTTACACTCGTGAGAGCTTTTGCACAAATACACGAATGCAGGTTGCCGACAAAACTGCACCTCTCGGATAGTCGACTAACCTGTCTCGGAGTGCTATTTATGGTCTAAAATGAATTGCACGACCGGAAAATGAGCAGTTGCCCCCTGAAGTCAATGAAAAGCGGCATCCGATGGAATCTGTTTAAAGTAGGTGCATATATAGTCGCTACTCCAACGCATCAAATACAGCTCTTGTGTAAACCAATGTCGCTGCACTTATCGAAAACTGCGGCTCAAGCAAAGAAATCCACGTGAACTTGGATGGCTCCTCTATAGTACGATTATTAGTGCATGAGCAAATTTAAATTTTCGAATTAACTTACTTATCGAATGATAAACAATACAGTCATTGCGCACCATCTATCTAGAATTTTTCTGTGATTAGATTGATTAATTTTTACCTGTTGTCGCTATTATTTGAACAGCAGCCATCCTGCTTATGTAAATTTTGCAAATGATGACATTAAACATTAACAGAGGTGGTCATTTTATTTGAAGATCCGTTACATGTGGACCAAAATGTAGGTCATTCTTTGACGTCAGAGAAGCACACGATTTGCAACCTGTTCGTGTTTTCCCTCGAATTCCCTAAATGTGGACAAAATATTCATTCTCAGAACGTCACGACTGTGCATTGGTCATCAGCGCCCAAGGTTGAGTTTAAACAGCAATTTTTCCAGATTAATGATCAAGTTAACGTGGGTGGTTGTAGTTCGTAATAATGTTTTCGAAACCGCGGTGATTGGAAAATATGCCATGTAGCTGGATATAATTTCCGCGTAAATTTAATAACGAGGCTCAGAAAAGATATCTTTGCAAAATATCTTCCTTAGTGATGATACAATACACGAAATTTTTAGGAACCGCTGTAGTTTCCAGCTGGACTACGACAGGTTAATCAGAATTTACTTTACGTATTTAAACGTTCTACACTTTGCTGACTCGATAACGAAAGCAATTTATTGCTCAGTTCTAACACGAAAAACACTTCACAGCGAAAGTCAGCTATCAGGTTCACTGATGGGCACTGCAGCCGTGAACAATCAGCAGGTAGTACAATGGATTAAACAGAACGTCGTAGAAAACACTTGACGAAAATATGCTGGCTACAGTACAAAACAGGTGTAAAGTACGTGCTTGCACAAGCATCGTTTGCAGGCGTAAGTTGAGTTTCGTTGACTTCAGAAAAATCAGTTTTTCTTTCGTTTTACATTATACTGATTTTTTCAGCTATCAGGTGGGCCTAAGTGAACTGCAACTGAAAACGCATGCATAATCGAGTGTGATTGCACGTCTCGCACGCTCTAACATGAACGAACCAGAATACCGCACTGTCCGTATTGTTCGCAGGCAGATTTGAAACGCGTTTCTCGGCTGGCTGCACCAAAGCGCAGCACAGCGAAACTGATTTCTTTCTCAATAGGGCTAGTAAATGATGAAAAAATTTTACGCTGCGCTAGATCTCGATTTGAATCCATACTTCTATAGCGCTAATTGTTAATACATTCACTGCCCTGAAACTGCTCTTACACGAACAAGCACACAAACACCGCCGAAACAACGAATGCCGATGATCAGGTGGTAGGCTCACCTTATAAACAAGCCGATACTGGCTGACCTGACAAAAAAATCGACGATCTTCATGACAGATGAACGACAGGAACCGATCAACTGCTTGGAAGTAGTCAAAGCATTCTGGCTTATCAGTTGCTGAAGTTGGAATCAATGAATAAAGCAAAACTAATGAAACTCAGTAGATGGCACATCACATGACTGAGGAAATTAAATGTAGATGTACTGCTAAGAATCTTTGAATCTCGCTGACGCAGCAAACACTATCTCATGTTAACATAAAAATGTTTAGATACGCAGGCATCCCGAATCTTAAGCAGCCTGTGATTTAAAAAGAGTAACCAATGATAATGACAAAACAAAAACAACAAAAATATTGCATAATTATATCTGTCACGAACACCGAAATACTTTACTCTTTTTTATCATAAAACCGTTAGTTCCATGCTAAAAGGCACGAATTGTGTAATCTGTTAACCGAAAACAAAGGCCAGTTACTAAATTGGCAGAAATGAACAACGGTGAACATGGGATAAGTAAAAAAGCGGTCGCTAACATCATTATCTTAGAAACAAATATGAATAGACAATAACAATGAAGGTCGTCGCATATTATAATACGAATACAACGGCTCATTGGTGCATGGTTACATACACTAACGAGAGGATGATAATTCCAAGCTCGGCATGGCGAACGTTGCTGACAGATTTTGTGCTATGCCGTACGACCAAGTAGTCGAGCGAGTAGGAATACAAAACAACATTCAGCGTTCAAGTGACGTTACTACCATCCAAGAATTCCCACCAATCCTTTTCGTCACCTTCGTGGCAGTGGTCTAGGAGTACTTTACGACGACCTTCACAATACCTTAAAAACGCAAACGTCACGAACGGTAATCACAGTGACATAACGTTCTTACCTGTATTTGTCCTGCACTTTTTGTTTGAGTGTCACTAAGTTTTCTTTCGCCAGGTCTCGCTCGAGAAATTCGCTCAACTGCTCTGTTGCTAATTCTAAGTCCTGTTGATTATCCTGCGAAAAAAAACAGCGCACGGAGTAATGATTAAACAAACTGTTTGTGAAGTCAACAAGAGTTCAACTCCTGAAAAAGTTGACTTTTTGACGAACGGGATCATCCCCGTGCTTTAATCTGCCAAAAGAAGGCATCCACATCATAGCACTACAGTACTGAAGAACTAGACATGCTTGATGCATTTTGAAATTTGCAAATATTAGCTATCATTCGTATAACGCATATTATGAAGGCCCAGGACACCCAAACTCAAAAGCAAACAAATATACCTTTATTTAGCCGACAAACTGCGTTACCAGCACTAGCAAAACAGTCGGGCAAGACGCTTAACCCTGTCCCTATCCATTTAACTAATCGGAATCCTTAAGTATCCATCTACTTTTGTGGTCAGATGCCTTAAACAATGACTACATGTGCAGTGTATATGCCGATAAATATCAGATGAACTTTTATAATGGTTAAACTCTAAAAACAAATGAAGAGAAAACAAGAACTTAATGTACTGATTATGGAATCAGCTCCTCTCTATCCACTAAATCTGTTCAGAAGGCAGTCGACATATGTCAAGGTGTTTTCTTTCGTTAGAATAAATATACAACTACTGGGATCGCTAATTTCCTTGTCTGTGCGTTTTCGTTACAGCATCCCTTTCCAAAACAGTTTGTCTTACGAACGCGAGCAAACCACTAAATCCAGCTGCACAATTATTACTGGATCGCGTTTTTCATTACATATATGCAAAGAAATTAAGGTCAGGAGGGCTATAGTAGCGATGCGACATTTTAATGTCTGATCTGAATCTAGCTTCTATAGTCATTTCTCTC